TTTTTTTAGAGAAGTCTTTAAATTTAAACGAAAAAATCAGACTTTTTTTTTTTCTTTTTAGTATATTTGAAATATATAGAGTCAAAATATTATTTTAAAAATAAATACACACTTTTATTTAAATTTCAAGTTCTCTAATTTAGTTGAATAAAAACCTCACATTTTTCAGATTTCTTTAAAAATAATATCAAATTTTTTCACTTCTTTTACCTATAAAATACAAAATAAAAGCTTTATGAAAAAGTTATTTTTACTTTTGAAATAAAAAATCATTGTCTTTTAATATTATCTAACAAAAGACACTTAATTTATAAAAAAGTGGTGAGGGGTTTATTGCCATTTTGTTGTTGTTTTGAGTCACTGTGCGACGGATTCATAAATTAAATCATAATTGCAAGTAATACTTTGCATGTCAATAACACAATTGTTTGAATTTTGATGAAGTTGGATTTTCAGGCATCTACGCAAAATTTAACAAAACTGTAAAAATAGATTTTTTTCATAGCATTCAAATTATCAAGATTTTTTCTTATGGATAGGCCATAGAAGTTCTACATAGAATTGATCACAGATTAAGTTAATTTTTCTTGGGTTTGCCAGGTTTAATCAACGGTAACGCATATTTTAATTTGGGCAATCAGAATTAGAATGGAAGTTTTCAGCAACTTTTAGCATGCTTTCATTTGCTGCTGTATGATATGCTTTCTTTATAAAATTTTGATTGTGATAATGATATTAATTGTTTATGACACGTTCAATCAAGAAAAACATTTTTACATGGTTTCAAATTCCACACCAATCTCTCGCAAGGCAATAATGCTTCTAATATTTATTTCAAACGGCTCCTTCATTTTTGAATCTTCCTCTTTACTAATATATTCACAGGCTTTTGAGGTAAAAGTATCTCTCTATTTAAACAATATTGACAGTGTATTTCCAAAAAATGGGAAAAATCTTTTCAAGACTTCAAATTGTCAATCATTTGTATGCTTTTGTTGCGTTTCCCAAATGTTTAACGGTTTTAATACAAATTTTTGGTTTTAATACAAAATTTAATACAAATCGGTTTTAATACAAAATTTAAAACAAATTTATAACGGTTTTAAAAAGTTTATTAAATTAAAATAATCCAATTTATCAAGTTTAGTATACTCCTTTACATCTGATTCTGGAGACACACGGTCTGTGTCAGAAAAAAAAAATCAACATCATCAGTATTTGATATATTAATTTCAACACCTTTTTCTTTGTTTTGTTGGTCATCACCATATATGACAGATTTTTCATATATAGTGATTAACCAAAAGAGGTTATAATTTCACATCAATTTTTACTAATAAAAAAGATATCTGACTAGTTATTAACCTAAAAATAACTCAAAATGTAGTTGCCAAGGGCGTTTTTTAGATACCTAAGTATAACACCTTATATCTTTTTTTATAGAGTTTGTTTTCAATCCAAATTTTCAGAGACTACTCAAGTGATGAAGGAATAAAATAAGCTTAAAAACAAAACAAAAATTTTTATAAAAATAACCTTTTATGAGTAAAGGACCACCTTAAATTAAGTAGTTTAGTCAATTAGTATTTTCAATGCACGTATTTGCACTGATAATAATACTAGACTGATGTTTACCTGCTCATTCATTTATATACTTTCGGAAAAAAACTTAATTTTTATTGTAATTATTTTTATATTAATTTTAAAATTAATTAAAAAATAATTACAATGCAGCACTTTTATATGAAGAAACTAAATTAGCATTATTTGGTTGCACTTGTTTTGTCCGAAACTGTATCTCATAATACCATATTATGTTTAAATCTTACCCTACATATACCTACTATTGTATTAATCTTATCTTACATATACCTTAAATTGTTTATATGAAATTTTTTTCAGATATCTTAGGTGCACTTTTAAATGCTGACTTTTATTATACCGGTTTTTACAACCATTTAAAACAAACGTGAGAACCATTTAAAACAACCATGACATTCATTTAAAACATCGTGACAATCAATTAAAACGATGTGATTTTCAATTAAAACAATGGTGATTTTCAAAACATTTTACACATGATTACTCAACATTACACATGATTACTTACATTACTCAACATTCTATATTATTTAAAAAAAAAAAAAGTTATATTTATATATCTAAATTTATTTTTTATTAATACTATATTAATTTATTTTAATTGAATTTATTTTAATTTTAAACGGATGACATATTTAAATGGATGCAAAAACCGGTATATGTGTGTGCGCCTTACTAAGAAATACACTGAGAGGCTTGATGTTGAGAGATAAATATTTTATAAAAAAAGAATAGAGGAGTGGTGTCACAGCAAATATACGAGCAACGAGATATTAAAGAAAAAGAAGTAAAATTGTCCAAACGGAGATTCGAACCGCGGCCTAAAGAGTATGAAAAAAACGCCAGCTACTGACTCAAAATAAATATTTATAATAAAAAAAGGTGTTGATCATCATGGTTGTTTTACCAATAAGATATGGCCATGTAAAAATGTGTACCTAAACGGCATGGATAATAAATATGTATAGATATGTGTACGCCTTACCGGGTTTTTCATCCATTTAAAACAAACATGGTATCCATTTAATATCAAAATAAATCCCATTAAATTAAATTAATATAATATTAATAAAAAATAAATTTAAATAAATATATAAATAAAACTTTTTTTTTTTTAATAATACAGAATGTTGAGATTGCCCATGCGCTGAATGTTTTAATTGAAAATCACGATTGTTTTAATTGATTGTCACTGTTTTAAATGAATGTCATGATTGTTTTAAATGGATGTAAAAACCAGTAGTATATATATATATACATACTACTGGTTTTTACATAATGTATATATATATATATATATATATATATATATATATATATATATATATATATATATATATACATATATATATATATATATATAACCAGTAGTATATATATATATATATATATATATATATATATATATATATATATATATATATATATATATATATATATATATATATATATATATATATATATATATGTATATATACAGTGCTTCCAGAAAGTATTAGCGCACTCATATTTTTTTTACCTCAGAGAACTTTAAAGGATTGTATTTCGAAAACAATAAAAGACTGATAGATAATTTTTTTTTTAAATAATTCATAAAATAATGCAGAATTACTAATAGTAAAATATATAAAAGTATTTCTTTATTTTTATCTTGAATTTAATTAGAATACAATAAGAGTGATAAAAACAATAATAAAATAGTGTACAAAATTATTAGCGCACTTACAGTTTTTCAGATTCTAAGAAAGTTTAATATTTTATGTGACCACCTTTGTTTTTAAGGCATGCCAAGACTCTACGCGGCATAGAATCTATAAGTTTTTTGATTAGTTGTTGTGGCACGGTATTCCACAACGCTTGCATTTGCGTTTTGAGCTGCACCAAGTTAGTGGGCCTGCTTTTTTGTAATTTGCAGTCCATCAAACTCCAAAGATTCTCAATAGGATTCAAATCAGGTGAGCGAGCGGACCGAGGCATCAAGTTCAACCGTTTTTCATTCATGTATTGCTTAATTGAGCGTGCTGTGCGGCAAGGAGCGTTATCTTGTTGAAATTGCCAGGTGGAGTCAGCTTTGAAAATGCCCATTGACGGCTTTAAATCATCTTCTAATATCTCTCTATATCAATGTTGATTAATCCGATCAGTGTAAAGATGCGCCAGGCTATTGCTAGATCCAGCAATACAGCCCCAAATGCCAACTGAACCTCCTCCTCTCTGAACTCTTGACATGATAAAACGAGGATTATAATTTTCGTTTTTGTATCTCTTCACGACAACTCTTTTTTTGCGATTAATAAGTTCAAAATTTGACTCGTCTGAGAAAATACTTTTCTCCATTGCTCTATAGTTCATGCAATTCTCTCTTTGCACCATTTTCTTCGCTTGAGACGGTCTTTGATGTTTAGTAGTGGCTTTTTTGTAGCAAGGGATGAATTGAGTTGTTTATTCTTCATCAGCTTTGCTAATTGTTGATCAGCTAACTTGATGTGTACCCATCGCTGTATTCAAGTCCGAGGCGATTTCAGCTATACTCATGTTCTGGTTGCGTCCAGCAAGCACAATTGCTTTATTTTTGCCCCTTTTTGACATTTTTTTGGGCGACTTTTGTCTTCGACTGCTCCAAACTCATTATGGTTTTATAGCGTTGCATTCACAGATTTCAAGTTGACGTTCAATTACTCGATTAATGAGAGCACTTTAGTGCAGGCCAACAACTTGCCACTTAGTTTCAATTGATATGCTATTTAAACCCATATATCAGAGTAGTCATTAAACTTTATTAAAGTAGTCATTAAACTACATTAAATTCATCAAAAAAACAGGTAGTTTGACAAATAATTGAAATTCTAATTAAACTTAATACCTTTCATTAAAAAAAAAACTAGTTTGTAATTAAAATTACTTTACAATTTAAATTGATTTGAAGTTATCTGTAATAAAAAAATTACGAGTGCGCTAGTACTTTCTGGAAGCACTGTATGTGTATACATACATATATATATATATATATATACATACATTATTATGTATGTGTGTGTGTGTATATATATATATATATATATATATATATATATATATATATATATATATATATATATATATATAATATATATATATATATATATATATATATATATATATATATATATATATATAACAATGAAACTATAACAAATCTAATGACAGTCATTAGATTTGTTAAAGTTCTGAATTCAGCAGCTATTTGTCGAACTTGTATTCAGCTAAATTAGATGTTTAAACTTTTTAAAAAACCAATTTTCTTAAAAAAGAGCTACCTTCCAATTAAAAAAAATAAATTATTTCATACAATATTTAGTGATAAACTAAACATGGCATGAACATAAGTCATAAAACATAAGTCAAACACACTCCCATAAAAACTTGCCATAAATTCAAATCAAAACTATTACAATAACTTTATATTTCCATATAATAAAAATAATAATAATAAAAAAAACCATTAAAAATTAAAAAACAACAAAATAAATTTACAAATTAAAAAATATTATTTTATTCAAATAAAATATCATAAATTATATTATATAAATTTTTATAAAATATTTTCTAGTAAAAATGCTTTATTCAATATCGTCAAATATAACAACGTCAATCTGAAGTCGCGAATCTGCTAAAACTTTACATGTTAGAAGTCAATTGGTGTCATAAACTGATTTATAAATACTCGTTAAATTTAACCGAACAACCAAAAAAGCAGATTCACGACAAAAAAATGCTTAAGAGATGTACAAAAATAACATTTACAAGTATGAAAATCATATATTATTATATAATAACTATAGTAGCTAGAAATCAAAAAAACTATTACTGAAAATGACTATTTATCAGGGTTTCAAACTTTCTATTTTTTAAAGCTCAAATAATTACGCAAAACCAATTTATAAAAAAAAGAAAAAAAAAAGTGGTTTATTATCTGAAAAAAATTTAATATTATAACTTCTGATATAAATATTTACTGGATAACGGTGTTTTCAGTAGTCGGCATTGATATGGAGCTATCGCGCAAACAACGTGAACAACAGTAATGGCACGGTCAATAACTACCAACCACTTTAAAGATATGTCATAAGTTATATAAATCATTCTGTATTTTTTTCATAAACATCGATGCTTGAATTGTTCTTTTCTACAAATTTTAAAGTTATTTCGAAATTTTTTGGGTAGATTTTCCAGGTTTTTGATTTATGACAATTTGAAATTTCGTTACGAGCTAGATGAAATCTACGATAAAAAAAGTTAAAATTTAAACTCAATGCAACTAAAACAAAATTTAAAACTATTAGTTATAAATCTACAAACTTTAATTAAATAAGAAAAATTTCTTTTACAGACAAAAAAACTCTCTTACTTTTTATTAGTTATCATGCTGGTATGTAACCAAAAGAAGAATGCGCAGTTATCGTACACTTTTGGAACTGTCTATAACAAAATCATAGCAAAAGACTTAATCTTAGTTTAAGATATTTTTAAAAATTGCTCAAGGTAGACGAAAATCGAATTTCGGATTAGATAACATAAATCATTAAAGACATTAATCTAAGGAATATAGAAAAATGCATATAACTGATTTAGTACAAAAGCATTTATCCAAGTAAGAGGTCGTCCATACGCTTTTTTGGGTCCAATATGCTTTTGAGTAACCTCCACCTCCCTAAAAGTACTTATGCTATTAACCTACCTACCCAAAATTTTATGATATTTTTTTAATTTAGTGTCTCCATACTTTTATAATTGGCCCACTACCCCCCATCTCATACGCCATTTGCAGACCCCCTCTTCCCCTCCGAGCGTACGCACTTTATGGACGATCCCTAATATGTAGATAATAAGAAATATTCCAAAATTTATCTAAGTATTAGGTAGGTAACAAGAAATATTCTAAAATTCGAGCATTTTAACACGAAATTAAAAAAAACTAAAATTTATTTAATCTTAATAACTTAATATACGTTTGTTTTCACATTTTAAATTTTGTTCGATATTCACTTTTAAATTTTATAAATTCAATCTTTAGATGAAATGTTTCTGAATGTCTCCAAAAAACTCAAATAAAAACATAGAAAAAAAGAAAAAAAACAACAACATTTTTTTACTAACATCAGAACATTGCAACAAGTTTCAAACACCCTAAACAAATTCATGTAGGACACTACACTATAGCTTTTAAACTATTTTAATTTGATTTTGGATAAATTCAAGATTAGTATAAAAATAAAATTAAAAAATTTCTAATAATATTAAATGCAACAGTGAATATATGAAGTATTTAATATACTTCATCACTGTAATAGTGATGAACACAATAAAGTTAGTAATTGAAAGCTAAATATTTTATTTATTAATAAAGTTTTACTAACATTTAAGTACATTTTATTATTACTTACTTAAATAGTTATGAATTGTGAAATATATTTAAAAAAATTGTTGTAATAGCTTTAAATCATTATAACAGTTTTTAAACCATTTTTTAAGGCGAGTTTCCACTCATCCGTTGTTTTACGGGAACGGGACGGGAAAAATAATCACGTGGGCATGCGTAGTATAAGTTTTAACATGTCCGAAGGAAAACTACGCATGCTCACGTGATTATTTTTCCCTTTCCTTTCCCGTTCCCGTGAAAAAACGGATGAGTGGAAACTCACCTTTATACATTTCAAACCAATTCAAAGTTTTTTAAGAAATATGTGATAAATATATTTTCAGAGGACACAGGTAAAATGCAGAATGTGGAAATTTTTCAATGGGTAAAATGCAGGAATAAAGTGCAAACGATTTCTCCTAGTCTATGTAGCAGAACTCCTTTGCATGTTCTCCCTAAATTGGCGTATTTACTAAAGCCCCCAAACCTTATTTTTGAACTTTACCTGTTGAAAATTTCTGCATCATATCAATACCTGTTTCCAAACATTAGAAACAGGCATTGGTAAAATTGACCAACTGCATAGTCAGATACCATTTTTTTTTTTTGCTTTTTATTTTTCCTATGGCACAAAAATAAAGTGCAACAAATCATAATTACTAATTTATAGAAATTGAAATATTAGTCAAAAACATTGTTTTATTACTATGGGAGAATTAAAAAAAGAAAAAAATCTTTTTATTTTGTCAAAAATATATTTGAAAGTGTTATTGAGCTCATAGATTATAAGCATTTTATTAAATGAAGAAACAAACGATTAATGCATAATTTAATAACATAAATAACATGTTTGAAGTATTTATAAAGTTTTTTAAATCACTGTCATAATCTAGAAAAAGTAAGAGGATAACAAAACAATATGCAGAGCTCAATGAAAAGATGAATGTTGTGAGGCATATGGGTTTAATATTTTCATAAAAACACATCTTGGTATTTGTTTTCATTAGATGTTACATGACATTACATTAATGACCAGACATTATTTGAAAATAAAAACCATGAAAATGGTTTATTTATGAAACTGGGAGCTCAATATCTTTGACAAATAAGTTTAACAACAATATCACATTAGTTATGAACAAATTTATAATAATTTTATTGCTTCTACTAAAGTTATTTTTTAGATAAATGATCACAACTATGAGCCCTATTCAAAAAACTGTTTTCCCAAACTTATTGGCATATTTTTTTTAAATACTCAGGACAAGTCATCCTGAAAAAAGTTACAATATTTTTTTATAAAAAAGATTATATAATATTTACTCTTTAAACTTTTTAGATCATTACTATAATATCTATATTATATTCATCATCAATTTTGTTGTATGCAAACTCCTACTGTTAAAGATATCATTATACCAAAGAATTTATCAGTATAATTAAATCTTCAGCTGTCGAAAATAAAATTTTGATGACTCATATGGCATCCATCATCGAAGTTTTTCTTAAATTAAAGTAAAAATTATACTACCTATCTAAATGACACTCTCATTTATGATTCTACCAGAAGAATATAATTTTTGCAAATCCTTTCACAAAGCAAGAACTAATTTAAAGCAACATAAAGTGGACAAAGACTTTATAACAAAAATAAATACATTATTGCAGAAATGGAAATAAAAACTTTTATTATATATGTGAATATATTGAATATGTTCTTGCTTGACTCATTATTCACCAATATATATGGCTGCTTAAATGAGCTATCATCTATAGTTCCATAAACCAAAACTTATTCTCGCTTGACTCGCCATTCAGCAAACTCAAATCTTTTTACTGTATCTGTCCTTGTATGCTCTAAAAATTTTTTATTTGCCTAGTTTTTTTACCCGCACTTCAACCTTTCAGTGAATTTGTGTAAAACGTATTAAAAGTTACTAGTAATAAATTTTTTTATAATTTCTAGTATTTCTGTTATCAAAGACTTAAAATGATTTCTTAGATTTTATTATCCTTATATCATAAATTGACATTTTTATGAGATATATATTTTTTTGTCAATTCATCTCTCTAAGGTCGATAAGGCCACTACAGATGAGGAGTCTACTTAACTGTGGTTATAACCCTCTCTCAACTCCGAAACACAAACCTTGACGAACAAGGCCATTGCGTGGTGAAACAAGTTGAGCGCGGTACTACCAGAAATGTGGTGGGGATCAAACTCGAAACCTCTCGCTCATAAAGTGAGCGCTCTACCACAATACATATAAAATTACAACTCTCTCTCTCTTTATATATATATATATATATATATATATATATATATATATATATATATATATATATATATATATATATATATATATAAGTATGTATGTATGTATGTATGTATGTATGTATGTATGTATGTATGTATGTATGTATGTATGTATATATGTATGTATGTATGTATGTATACATGTCTTAGTTAATCCAGGGTTTCGTTTTATGGTGATACTTTTAATTAAATATTTTTAAACTTCTTTAAATATTCAATCTTCACTGTTCTAACGTTTTTTATATTTTAGGGTAATAAAAAAACATTGTCACAAATGGATTTAAGGAATAAAATAAAAACTCACTGGATTTGAGGAGTGAAATTTAAATTTAACATCACCAGATAATACAGGAAAGTCGTCCAAATTAAACTTAACAACAAGAGTATCACTTCCTTTTAAAGAAACTTTACAGTTGATAGGAACTTTGAAGTTCAATTCAAAAATAACATGACCATTTACAATGACTTCCATGCGTAAATCACTACCGTTGCCATTACCAACACCTAAAATATATGAAAACAAAAGCTATTACATTGACAACCACACTAAAATATAACAAAATAAAACTAATAAATAAGTGATAAATTTTAAGAGACAATAAAAATCAACATGTTTTTATTCAATTTTAGTGATTCAATTTTAGTCCAATTTTGTTTAAATTATTAATTTTAGAAAAGATTTAAAAAGTATATAAGTATAAGTATAATTGTAAACTTTTATGTATGGGATGGTGTGTTAAACTTTTATGTATGGGATGGTGTGGTAAACTTTTATGTATGGGATGGTGTAGTAAACTTTTATGTATGGGATGGTGCGGTAAACGTTTATGTATGAGATGGTGTGATAAACTTTTATGTATGGGATGGTGTGGTAAACTTTTATGTATGGGATGGTGTGATAAACTTTTATGTATGGGATGGTGTAGTAAACTTGTATGTATGGGATGGTGTAGTAAACTTTTATGTATGGGATGGTGCGGTAAACGTTTATGTATGGGATGGTGTGATAAACTTTTATGTATGGGATGGTGTGGTAAACTTTTATGTATGAGATGGTGTGATAAACTTTTATGTATGGGATGGTGTGTTAAACTTTTATGTATGGGATGGTGTGATAAACTTTTATGTATGGGATGGTGTGGTAAACTTTTATGTATGGGATGGTGTAGTAAACTTTTATGTATGGGATGGTGCGGTAAACGTTTATGTATGAGATGGTGTGATAAACTTTTATGTATGGGATGGTGTGGTAAACTTTTATGTATGGGATGGTGTGTTAAACTTTTATGTATGGGATGGTGTGATAAACTTTTATGTATGGGATGGTGTGTTAAACTTTTATGTATGGGATGGTGTGATAAACTTTTATGTATGGGATGGTGTGGTAAACTTTTATGTATGGGATGGTGTAGTAAACTTTTATGTATGGGATGGTGCGGTAAATGTTTATGTATGGGATGGTGCGGTAAAATTGATTGGAACAAAAAAATGGGCTGAAGCAAAACATAACATTAGTAGCTTAAATAATGAACTTAATTTTTCAGAAAGCAGTGGTTTATAACACTTAAAAATAGTGTATTTAAACATTTAACACCTTAAAACATGCATAAAACTTAAAAAAAAAATAGAAACAAAATAGTGACAGATTAAACATCTAAAAACTATACAACATAAATGTATTAACTAATATCAGTGATCTAGATTATAACATCTCAAAATTATTCAACAACATTGCATTAAAAAGAAAATAATATATTAAAAAGGAGAGAACCTTTCACTTTACAAACCTTTCACTTGCCTTAAGTTACAGTTGAATTTGTAATTTAAACTTGTACAAAAAAATCTTACTTTTAATCCCTGTTATCTTTAGACTTTTTAATACAACTGGTTTGGGAACAGGTAAACGGCCTTTCATATCATTTAGTATTTTCTCAAAGTACCCAACATAACGACTCTTTTTAAAAAAAAAGATTACTTTAAAATAAAAATGATAAAAAATGTTGTAATTAAAAGTAGAAATTACTTTTATACAAACTCAAACAATAACAACAATAGTCTTTGTTATTATTATTTTTATTGTTATTTATTTATCTACAACATAGATAATAAAAATCTTTACAGAGTAAAGACTCTTATTATCTATGTTGTTATTACAAGAAAATAAAAATTTTTTTTATTTATTTTTGTATTATTTAAAGGTACAAATTAGGGTGGAGTGATTTTAAAAATTTTCAAAATTTGATTTGCCTGAGCTGCGAATCGATGTCTTTTGGTGAAAAAAGAACCTTACTTTTTTTTTTTAAATTTAGATGAGTTTTAGAGGTTCCTCTTTGGATTCTAAATTTATGACAGATCCTAATATTGTTGAATTTCTTTTTTTCTAAACTATATCAATCTGGTACTCAAAAGAAGCAGAATAATATGCTGATTTTGAAAATAATATTTGTTTAAATTTAAAACTGAAGAGAAAAAAATAGTGTTGTTTTCTTTATTAAAAACCCCCATCTTCATCAAAACGAAGGTTTTAAGGTATATTTTTGCAAATATTTTTTTCACTAAAAAAAAATTCAAAAATATTAGGATCCGTCAAGAATTTAAAATCCAAAGAGGAACCTCAAGATCTCATCAAAAGATTTCCATTAGAAGTCAGTAGTGACAGATAATCCAAGATGACATAAAATAGAGAATTCAGTACAATGTTGCCAGTAACTCAGTTGAATGTCACAGAAAAGTGATCAGTTTCAAGATATCAAAAAATAATAACTTTTTGTTAAAACTTTAGAATAAAATTTTGGCATCAATAAATAGAGCCATATTAGAAAATAAATTATCACAAAGATCCACAGTATAGATGAAAAGCAATACAATATCAAGGGTGGAACTTTGTGGTACACCAGAGGTTATTGGAAATGAAGGAGAGTGTAGCTCATCAAAGTTTCAAAACTGAAATTACAAAGAATTTAATTATTTTAAAAATTATCCAGATATAGCATATAATGAAAATGTATGCTTCACCAGTTCTACCTAACACAACTGTTATGACATTTAACAAGCAGCAGTAGAAACAAGTAAAATTAAAAACAACTTTTGAAAACCCAATGCTTTTATGTTATTAAAACACAAATTTTGCAATAAATATTACTATTTTATTTTATTAACATTTGGCTGTACGCGTGTGTAAAAAAAAAAAGTTCAGGAAGAGGCAGGTCTTGACCCTTAGACATTCTGTTTACGAAGTCCACGCCTTATCCAAATAAGCTAAATGCACATATATGTAGAAAAGAATTAATATACTTATTTTAAAAATTCTTCTTCTTTCCATATAAAAAATAAACCTAATTAAAATTAACTAAATTAATTGACTTATTGCAAAACTAATTATTGAATATTGTATTATCACCAAGCAAGAGTATTTATCCAAAATTTGAAGAAAATCTATCATCAAAAAGTGACTCAAAAATTAATTGCAAGATTTGATGCTCACAAACAAACACAGACGACGAGTTAATAAAAGCATCAGGAAAAAAAATTGAAATCTGTATTGGTTGTCAGAGATTAAGTTGTTTGACCCAAAACAAAATAGTAGAAGTTTGCTAACTATAGACTCAAAGACCTAACAAATAGCAATTGCTTTTTTTAAGATCTTTAATATTATTTTAAAAATAAAAATTGCTAAAAATAGTTAGAAGACTGAGCGCATAATGGTTAGAGAAGTCAGTTTTTAAAACTCTGAGCAATCCAGAGAGCAATCTCTGAGCAATCCAGAGCAATCTCTGAGCAATCCAGAGCAAGCAGACTGAGCAATCCAGAGCAAGCAGACTGAGCAATCCAGAGCAAGCAGACTGAGCAATCCAGAGCAAGCAGACTGAGCAATCCAGAGCAAGCAGACTGAGCAATCCAGAGCAAGCAGACAGTTTTTAAAACTCTGAGCAATCTCTGAGCAAGCAGAGTTTTTAAATTTAAACCAGACTTTCGAGGAGGAAAATTTATTTAAGCACTTTTTAAATAGCTTAGATAGTATTGAAGAGAGTTCTGAAGAACACTGGTGCAACATAAATGTTGTCTGGACCGCAAGATGTTTGGTCCAGCTTAAAAGAGTTAAAGTGAGAAATAACTTAAGCAATTAAAGAAGGGTTTCAATGTTTAGCAATGATTAACCTGTTTCCCTTAGCAATGTCTTGATTAACCTGTTTTTCAGGTAATACTCTTTAATAAATAATATTATGTGAAATAAAAATTGTACCTGACATGGTGTTTCTACTCCTTGAAATCTCTCTCCCTTAGCTTTATCTGTTCTTCTCAATCCAAAATAATGCAAAGCTTTCTATAAGTTAATATTTATAAGTTTAATTCTATAAGTTAACTTTCTATAAGTTTAACTATAAGTTAAACACATGTTTAAAATATTCGTGTATAAAAATAATTTTAAAATATATTAAAAAATACCTCTGCAGATTTAAACTGGCCTGAGAACAAAAGCCACGCTGCAACACAAGTTCCAGTTCTTCCTTAAAAAAATAGAGTCAGTTAAAAAAAAGTTTTATATTTTCACCAAGAGCAAATTATAACTTTCTAAACCTTTTCCTCCTTTGCAATGAACAACCAATACATTATTTTCATCCTTCTTCATCCAATCAAAAGCACTGTGACAAAACTGCAACAGCTGACTAAATTTTAAATTTTTTTTTATCAGAATTTGTTTAAATTTAATGATATGGTTCCATATTTGAGTGGTTTAGATGGATTTCAAAAATGCCATTTTCTTATTTAAATACAATATTATAGAAGAATTGAAACAATTTTTTATGACTAGATGTCATTCTTAGCATTAACGATACGTTGTGTGTGTACATTGTGTGTATACACACATAAATGTAAACACGCATATCTGCTATGGCTGGAGTACATACATCACCTAAGAATTTGAGTTTGGGCTAGTACTATCTAAATATGAAAAACATTATTGAAAAAAATATTTTATTATTTTTACTTTATTGTATATTTATATGGTCATGATTATGAAGATACCACTTGGAAATAAAGATAAGAATAGGCTTTACTACATAAAATGACTGAAGACTAGGGTGTGTGTGTATATATATATATATATATATATATATATATATATATATATATATATATATATATATATATATATATATATATATATATATATACACACACAGTGAGAACAGAATTTAATCGTACAAAATAATTTTTCAATAAAATTAACATCTTTAAATAAAATACTGTACCATGCAGTAATTATAAAGAACTTTTTATCTCTCCAATTATTCAATTGGTAAAAAACCTTCAAAAAAATTATTAAATTTGTTTTTATGCTTTTGAATTACCTGGTTAAGAATTTGAAACAAAAAGAAGGGAATAAAAACACTTGCACATAAAATAACCGTACAAGAAAAACTTTATAGGTTAAAGCTAAGAAAAAATACTAGATTTATTAAAATAACTGAGAAACAGTTTCAAATTTTTGTAATTTATTAATATACTTTAATATTAGTTGGTCCTTGCTTACAATTGGTCCTCGCTTTATTTACATCTAATAAGCGCTTAGGCATTGATTCTACTTGACATTTGATTTGATGTCAATGTTAAACCATGATTTAACAAAAGTTTTCTTTAAATCTTCTTTTTTTGTAAATGCCCTATTACCTATTTTTTATCTAATAAAGTCCACTAGTAAGTGACTGGGTCCCCAGCCCAGGCTAAAAACAGAGGTTTTTGCAAACCCGGCCCCGGCTAAACAAACACAATTTGCAGGGGTTACTAGCCGGGGCTGGATTTTTGTTGTTGTTTTTGTTGCTTTTTTTTTTTTAAATTTTGTCAAGTTAAAATTTTTTGTAAAAGTTTAAGGAAATATAAGAAAAAGTCACAAAAGTAATATATACAAATATAATATAATTCATAAATATTTACAATGACAAATAAGTAATAAGACACTTTATAATAATTTAAGTTTCTTTCTCTAATTCTGATGATTCTGTGTCCCAGACATCATAGTATTTTGAATTAGGTGGTGTAAAGTCTTCAGGGGCATCACATAAATATGTTGAATAAGAAAGAGCCCTTAAATTGCATTTTAAAAAAAGAAGTGTTTCAACATTCTGTGTTGTAAGTCTGATGCGATCTTTTTGTATTATCTTTGAAACCTTGAACTCCCTCTCACTTGTTGTTGAGCTTGAGGGTGAACATAAATATACTTTTGCCAAGTTTGCAACTTGACAACTCGCTTTTCATGAGACTCCAATATAATAATGGATCTTTTGAAATATCTATTTGCTTCATTTTTGAATACTTTTAAAACTCAATTTTAGCAGACTCGGTTGCCTTTAGATAAAATGTGTCACTTTCTTCATTATCGGACTCATTGTCTACTAAAACTTTGTTCCACATTGATTTAACTGATGACGATTTGCAAACCTTAAAATAGTAAAATTCTAAATTATATACAAAAATCCATTTAAAAACTATTTGAAATGTATTCAGTTTCTTGTTTACTATGTACTCCTTAATCTTTTTTATAAAAGATTTTTTTTTAAACTTATATTAAACTAAACTTCGTTTATTTTATATTTGATTATGATGTTTGTAATTATTCAACACAGTTTAATAGATTTTTATATATATTTACCTGTTCGGTAGTTGATTCTCGAATAATATTACTAGTGGTCGATTCTGCTTGAACATCAGTTTTACTTAGCTGACTAATCATAAAGTACAACAAACTTTCATTTGCTTTTTCAGAAAAAATTTTGTTTTGAAAACCAGCAGTTTTGTATCTAGGATCAACTGCATATTACTGCATATTGAACTCTTCTGTTGATGTTTGGAACAAGCTTTGTTCTAATATTTTTTTCTGATGGTACTTTAAATTTTTTTGACAGATGGTTTATAAATTTTAGGAACTTTGAGACTGATTTTAAGGCATCACAAAGCCAATATATCAACAATTGCTCTTCTTTAACTTGGTCAGGATTATCATATCTCCATTTTAAATGCCCTTCTAAAAAGTCTTTAAGAGTTAACTGTTTGGTGTCAAGCTTTTTGTTTAAAACATAAACTTTACCTTTTTCTTCTTCATGCTGCTTTTTTTTTTTTTTTTTTTTTTTTCAGTTTCTAAAGTTTTTGATTCACTTGCAGAAGAGTGCTCATCTTTGTGTTTTGACTGCAAATGAGTCCATAATGATTTTGTTGAAAAATTTTTCAGAAGGAGCACCAGTCGCTCCTCTTTTAATTTCAACACTGCATATGTTACATTCAGCAACCTCTGGTTGCCCATGGGCAACATTGAAATAACTCCATACTGCTGACACTTCTCTTTTAGCCATTATCTAAAATAAATTGAATTGAATTATATTGAATTTAAGTATATGATATTTACAACAAATAAGTTTCATAGCTTAATATAAAAACAAGATATTTTATTAATTTAAAGATAAACTAATTAATAAAATCATAAAAAATGACTAAGATATATGACAAAGATTTCATAGTTAATTAATTACTTTCATTTTTTTATAACTAATATTACTACTATTATTACTTTTGTTAATAACTTTAATAGATAAAGATTTTATTGAAGAAAAGAAGTATAGAGGTATTGCTAGATAAATTATAAAATAATAATACTAAAAACAGTTAGTTTAAAAAGAAATTGCTATAAATTTAACAAACCTTTAGCTTTTTGCAGATGGCTTCAATAATAATGATAAAAGTTGCTCTTTTTATACAAGTCAAAAATAAGTAAGCCAGACACATTATTTATGTTGGTATAACAACAGTATTATAACAACAGGCAAATGACTTATTTTTAATGAATACTCTGTTTTTACCAGTTAAAAAAAAGGAAGTTAAAAAAATTGACTTCCTGTTGAACAAAAGTTTTAAAATACTAATCAAACTTTTTTTTTCTTCTAGACATATTATGTAAATGTCAATGTTTATGTAATGCAAAATATTTGAAAAATCAGACATAAAAAGTCAGACACAGTTATTAAATGCAATTAAACCAATTAAAATGTTACCAAATTAGTTTAACTATTTCATTAAATGTTTATTATTACTTTTATTATTAATTTTTTTTATAATTTTAAATTTTTTAAATAGCTTCAACAAAAATAAATTCATCTATTTTCTAATATTTATCAATTTCTTTACATTTAAATACTTGAATAGCTCAACTATGTAATTCTAATGATTAAAATTACAATTAAAAAGTTACTTACATTTTAAATGTAAATGCAATTTTACAATAAATTTATCTTATGAAATTTATTTTAGGATATTTTAAACACCCTGATTGTTAGCAATTTTTAAATATTTCTTCAAATTATTAACTTTGTTTAAAAATTTCAAATAATCAATTTATTACATGATGGCCACTGACTTTTCTAGAATATCCAGGTTGCTGGCTTGTTTATTCTTTCATCCGGAAAGAACAAAGTAGATCAGATGGATATATCGTGTCTTTAAAAGATAGGAAAAAAAGCATCTTAGAGATAGTATAAGAGTAGTAATTATATTTATAGTGTGTATCAGAGAAGATGATAATGATGCCAATGATTAAGATGATGATGATGTAGATCAGAATCATCTTAATCATCATCAACTGTATGCTTGATGATGATGATGATGATGTAGATGATAATAATAATGATGATGACGATGTCAATGAGATGATATATATACCTTTATATAAAATATATCATGAATTTTAAATAACAATAATATATTTATAAGGAATATCAATATTAATGCAGCCCCGGTCACAAACCCGGCCCCGGCTATGTTTTATCAAACCCGGCCCCGGTCAAATATCAACCCCGGTTGCTTACTAAAGTCTATTGAATAATAAATCTAAACATGGGCTCTGTGAGTTTTTTTAGCAATATGTTTTGGATCATTATTTTGTTGAAACAAAAAACTGTTTTCCAATCTAAGTCTTTTAGCAGAAGATTTTAAATTTTGTTTCAATATATTGTTATACAAATCAGCATTCATAGTTTCATCAATAAATTCTAGTTTACCAAACCATTACATGTCATACAACCCCATAACATTACACTTCCACCACCATGTTTAACTATTCCTCGTGTGCAACTCAAATTAAATGCTTCACCCCAGTTTCGCCAAACTCTTTGGGCACCATCAGATTTTTTAAAATTAAACTTGGATTCATTAGACTAAAGTACTTTTTTCCAAAATGATTCCAAAAGAGAAGAATTCATACTTCTCTTCATATGATTTTTTGTTAAAAACAGTTTTTTTAGAGCTCTACATCCACTAAACCCTGCTTTACGAATGTGATATCTAACTGATGTTAGTGAAATTGTGTTTTCTGTTAAGTTTTTCAGATGATTTGATATACTTTTTGCACTTTCAAACTGATTTTTTTAAATCATTCTTAAAATTTCTCTATCATCTTGTGAGATTGTCTTCAGCTATAAGTATTTCCTTGTTGAACCAAATCTATAACAAGTTTTTGTTGAGTAGTATTTAAATATTTACCGTTTTGTGTCATAATGTTCAATGAACAGAGTTTTTAATGACTTTTTTTTTTTTAATCAAAAATGTTATTAATTGCTGAAAATAATATTCTAGAAATATAAATTCAATAATAAAATTGATATTTAATAATTAAAAAAAACCCATAAATATTCATGACAAATAATAAAACAGTTTTGTACAATAAATTTTTGTGCATGCCAATTAATACCTGTGTAAGTAAAGAATCAAAAATTTAATAACAAACACATATTCTTATACTTTTACTGATTAATTATAAATAAGAAATAGCCATAATAAATTTAAAAAAAAATTGGTTCATTTATTTTCATTTTTAATCAAGATAAAAGCAAGTTTTAGCAAAATAAAATGCAAAAATTACTTATAAAGATTAAATTCTATTCTTACTATATATATATATAATATATAAATTGCTAACAATCAGGGTGTTTAAAATATCCTAAAATAAATTTCATGAGACAAATTTATTGTAACATCAACCCTCGGATTTAGGAAAATGAGGTCGGCAATAAATTGCCTCAAGACCACAAACTGTTAGAAGTCGGCAGTTAGGTCGGGATTGCCGAATGCCAACCCTAAACCCTCTTTTCTTGCGATTAATAAGTTCAAAATTTGACTTGTCTGAGAAAATTACTTTTCTCCATTGCTTTACAGTCCATGCAGATCTCTCTTTGCACTATTTTCTTCTCTTGAGACAGTCTTTGGTACTTAGTAGTGGCTTCTTTGTTGCAAGGTATGAATTGAGATGTTTTTTCTTCATCAGCTTGCTAATTGTTGATCGGCTAACTTGATATGCACCCATCGCTGTATTCAGGTCTGAGGTAATTTCAGCTATGCTCATGTTCGGGTTGCGTCTGGCAAGCACAATTGCTTTATTTTTGTCCCTTTCTGACATTTTTTTGGGACAACCAGTGGCATTTGTCTTTAACTGTTCCAAACTCATTATAGTTTTTGAACATTGTTCTAACGCTGCATTCACTGATTTCAAGTTGACATCCGATTTCACATTTACTGAGACCATTTTTGTGAAAGCCAACAATTTACCACTTTATTTCAATTGATATGCTCTTTAAACCCGTATTTTTGTGGGTGCAATTTTAAAGTTTTAACTAACTGTATTTCAAATGATATTTCCGTCACTTCAATTTTGGTTCTTATATTTTTCTATTGACTATTATTAATCAGCAGAGAGTAATTAACAAAAATTAGCCGAAAAAATTTTTCTCAAAGGAATTAAACGAGTATACTAATACATTTTAAGTGAGTCTGCTAATACTTTTGCACGCTTAATTTCAGACATTTTTCCGAGTAGTCATTAATTTTTTAATTAACTCATTAAAAAACAAGCAGGTTGACAAATATTTCACATAATTAAATTTAATTGGTTTTATCTTTCATTAAAAAAAAAAAAAAAAAACTAGTTCAAAATTACTTTACAATTTGTATTGATTTGAAGTTGTCTATAATAACAAATTTACGAGTGCGCTAATACTTTCTGGAAGCACTCTATGTATGTATGTATGTATGTATGTATGTATGTATGTATGTATGTATGTATGTATGTATGTATGTATGTATGTATATATGTATATATGTATATATATATATATATATATATATATATATATATATATATATATATATATATATATATATATATATATATATAGATAAAATAATAGATTATAAAACAGTATTTTTCTTGATTTAAATGTATACAAGCAACAATTAAAATAAACCTCAGCCTTGGGACATTGTGATCATCAACTAAAACTCTCTCCACATTATCATGAAAGTAGGAGGTATCATAGTGGCGCTCACCTGTTTTTAATATATAAATATTGATATAAACGTAAATTATATATAAATATTGATATAATAGTGAATAAAAATCAAAACAATTAAACAACTAAATACAAATATAAATATAAAATGCAAAGAACAAAATAAAGACAAGATTTCTTAAAAAAACTGGTTGTTTATAATTGCTGCTTACTGAATGCATAAAAAATATATAGTGATACTGTGCTTACAAAATTTGGAGCATATGTCATTCTTATTAAGAATGTCAATCCTGGGAATCTCATTATTTTCTGTATTCTATTTTATTTAGTTTTGCAATGTCATTTACTATGCTTTAAACTTTTTTTTTCCCCATTTTATATAACTAACTCTTTTTATTTAAAAAACTAACCAACACATCAATACTCATAAGACTGAAACAATCTCTTTTACATTGTCTTCAGTACGTATCTAAAAAATAGCTCAACCAACATCTTATAAGAAATAGTCTTAACTCATCATACTAATTCACATTTAGTAAAACTAATTACTTGTTTTTAAAACAAATCTCTCTTCTGTCTTGATCTTTTACACTAAGAGTTTTCATTGCCCCAGTTTTACTGTCATTTATTATAACACACTAGATGCATATGCTGTACAGCTTTTCTTTAATCTACATCCTTGATACATCATTGTGTTAAAAGTGGATACAATACTCTTAAATAAATAAATAGTTTCCACATCGACCATATTTTTACAAAATATGGTTGATGTGTTTTTAACTTCTACACTTTTACTTTTCCTTCGTACATTTTATCATATAATTTATTTACATTTATGTATAAAAAAATGCTAAATATTTTGAAACTCACAAACAACAATATCTCAAGTGAATCCATTTCTAACAAACATGACAAACAACCGAGTTTACTATAAATCGATTCCAATAAAACTATTTTATATGTTCCTTACTTTAGATAGCATAACTTTTGTGAAGATGTCAAAAACTTTAACTAATAGAACTTTTATATTACATTTATCAAAAACGACTTAAAATTTACAAAACAATTAAACAAAAATGATCAACAAAAAGAAATTATTAGAACAAAAAATTGAAATAATAATAAAAATTTATTTATATCATAAATTGATAGACTAAAAACTTAAAAAAATAACAAAAATACTTACTACACAGATTATAAATTTTATAATGTCCAGGGTGCTTTGTATTAAAAAATCGAGCCACTTCCTAAAATTTAAAATGAGAAAACAGACTGAAAATATCCTGTATAAATACAGCTTTACATGGAATGATTACTAGGTATTAACAAACAAGGAGTTAACTTGATTTATATATAAACTAACTTGATATCCATAAACAGATTCAATTGACACAAAAATTAATCAACTAATGTTAATTAAAATCTAATTAACCTAAAAAATTTTATCCTATGACACCACTGCACTTAAAGAAGAGGACCAAAAAAAAAAAAAAAAATGAAACCTCAAAATAGTAAAATATTGAATCAGTAGAAAAAATGTAAAAAAAAAATTTCAAAATTCACCTACTGAAATTAGACCCATAAAGATTACAGCCATATTGTTAAACTATTTTTTAACACTCAACAATAGAGAAGATACTTATTTCTAATATATGTGTGAACTGGTCTTTATGAACAAGAGTTGGAGTTAAATCTATGCATAAATTTTAAATAAATTATTGTAACTTAATGGTCTCTAAACATTTTTTATTAAATGTATTTTTCAAGTTTATTATGTTAATCTTTATGTTTCTAGTTTTGCATGGTGCTGATATGGTTACACTTTTGATTGGCATAATTCAAGTTATGTATCTATGACGACACTAAAGTTTATCAAATACTTTATGTTTTATTGAATTAAATATTTTTTCTCTTTTATTTTCTTGGGTTTTTTTATCCTAATTTCAGCCAATTTAAAATTTTTGTGTTTTTTGTTTGTATATTATTTTAATGGTTAAACTTTTTCTGTGTTTCAAACATAATTATCTTTTTTTTTTTTTAAATTAATTTTCAATAGATGCTAAGTTACAGTTTAAAGTTTCAGTTATTTTATATTGCACAACACTCCTTTTTCTCAAAAATATGTGCTTTACAAATAAGAGATTGGTTTCTATTTGTAGTAGAGGTCTATTTAATGCAGTATACAACAGGCATAAATTGTAAAGTATAAGTGGCAATTATGTTTATCTGACAAGATAAACAAGATATTGTAGCTGAGCCTGGTCAAAATGCCAGTAGTAATAGACATGGCTCTGAAGAAAAATTTATTACCTACCACTATAAATATTGGAAGGTATATCATTTTAAATATAACATTTTATACAAAAGCACAAATGTTTTTACCGCCAATATCCTTTTATATTGGCTTTAATTTACTTTTTTTCTTTCTCTATATATATAGCAAGTAATTGTTTTATAATTTGTTCACCAGATTATAATGAAAATTTATGTCTATTATTCTATATGTTGTTTAAATAATTTTTTCTAATACATACCTTTCAATAAATACACTTTAAAATAAAATATATTTTTAAACAATATAAAAAAAAAATAATAAAAAATATTTAAAAACACTTCTTATCAAACAACTTTCTAAATATACATGTTTAACATTAGCTAAAATCCTTCATTATTCTGTCAAGCATTCACTGTTCAAGTCTAACCATTTTTTAAATTTATGTCAAATTATAAATAAAAAAGACAAAATAATAAAAAGATAATTAAAAATTTTATTTACATACTGAAATTGGATTTCTGTACAATGATGTTTTTCCAGAAGATGGAAAAGACATAGCAATGACTCTGTCTATAATATATGTTTTAATTTAATTTTCAACTTAATAAGAAATAATTAGAAAATTGATAAACTTTTTATCTTACCAGTGACATAGGTTAAATCTAAATCAAAACCATCTTTGACATAACGCCTTTTATTTTGAGAGATCTGTAAAATAAAAACATGGCTATAAAAAACTTAATAAAACATAATTTAAAGTAAGAGGTTGTCTATAAAGTATTTCATCCCCCCCCCCCCACACACACACTTTGTTATATGCTTTTTGAGTATTCTCTATTTCCATAAAAGTACCTACGCTTTTAACCTACTTAATATTTTATGATATCTTTTAAAATTTAGTTTATCCTTATTTTTATAATTGACCTCCTGAAATCATAATTAAAACCCTCATCAATTTCAGCATAATATTGTTAATGATGTTTTATGCAAGACAACTAGACAAACATATGCGTGTGTGTGTGTATGTGGTTATATATAAATAAAACACTAACATTCTAATACAAATTCAATCAAAATTTTTTTTCTAATGAGCTTTTATTAAATAAACACAACTTGACTCTGTACATTAAAACTAAGGGTGCATCGATACCTTCTATTGGCTGATGCTGAAGGATACAGGCTGATGCCAATGCATCGGTCCTGAAATTAGATATACGAAGGAAATATACACTTAAATGGAAATGCCACATTCCATTCATATGACGATAAAAGCAACATTTTGAAATTGTTATTGTTGAAGTTTATTTTCCATTTATTTTTTTATTGTTATCTTGACAATTAGAGCAATTACTTCAATTGAAAAACTCGTTTTATAAATATTTACTTTCGTCATTTTGTTCAAATTAGAACTACTTCGTTTTTTAAGAATGAATGGAAGATTTTGATGTCGTTACTTCTAATAATTGGCAAGTTTTTAGCAAATATTTTTACAAAATTAAGTTATAAAACATAATACTTATATTAAATGTTTATTTATTAAAGGCTTTTACTTTAATAATGAACTTTTTTATTATTTAATTTTAATATAAATGCAATGAAACATTTTGATTGCAAAAAATAACAGAAAAAGTTTAAAAAAAACTTTATTTAAAGCAATTTTCTCTTCTGCATTGTACTTCTTTTTATACTGAAGGAAATATTTCTGTACCTCAGAAGTCAAAGGTCAGTTGTCCCATTTTAGAAATTGTTCAGGAGAGAGGAAATAGTAAAATAATCAGTCTATATATCAAATTAATAAAATTGTTAAAAAAGAGTAATTAAAACCAAGGATGCGAAACAAACTTTAGTTTAGTGTAAATAAAAGAAAAAATTAAAATATATATTTAAAAAAATATTTTATTAGGCAACATTTTTAAAATGGACTAAAAAGTAAAATATAAATATATAAAAAAAATTTGTTTCACATTGTCGTAAGACAACAGTCTTTATACCTCTGCAAAGATACTGAAAAAACTAAAAAGGTCTTATACATAACTGATTTTTACAAAAAACTCAACAGTCGACCTTTGTCTTCTGAGGTACAGATTTATGATTTGAAACTGTCCCAACTAACTGCAAAACATGGAGAACATCTGGCTTTTGTGCATGCAAATTGGAAATTTTTTAAAGAAATAAAAAAAAAAAAAAAATAAAAAAAAAATAGATTCACAGTTTAATATAACATATTTTATTACTTTTTATAAAATTGTAAAAATTTTTATTTATTTATTATAATTATTTATTTATATATTATAACATGACCCAAGTTGTTCTATTATGCTTTAAATGTTATACTTTATATTTATATTTTTTAAATATTTCTTTCTTTTTAAATATGTATTTCTTGATTTTAAACTTCTTTGTAGAGTTTCGTATCCATAAGTTATATAATTAATCTACTAAATTATAATAAAAAACTAAAAAAATAGGGGAACCCTTTTAAAAGCAGTTCAAAAATTTTTAGTTTAGTGGTTGCATATATGCCTATTTAATAACTTATTATTAATAAGTAAGGCTTATACATGGCATTTATGTTTATGGCGTAATTCTTTTTTTGGATATAATATAGAAACAGAAATAAAAAATTAAAAAACTTTTTAAAACAATCAGCATAGGCTGATGCCAATGCATCGGCTAAATGGTCAATGCATCGGCAGGCCGATGCAGATGCATCGGTGCACCCCTAATTAAAACCATTCATTGTCTTACTAGGTTCCTTGTAGCTTTTTTCACATGCTTCTGACCAGTGAAAACTCTTATCAAAAGCAAAATACGTAAAAGACGAAATGCAACAACTAACCTAAAAGTAATGAAAAAACAAGTTAGAGATGAACAAATTAGAGAAAACAAACAAAACCTCATAAGTGGATAATAAAAAAGCAAAAAAATGTAACAAAAAAAAGACAAACAACATTTTAAAAATGAAACATACACAACCTACCAGGAGCTATTTGAGTCCTGTTTTAACCGCTTTGAATGTATTTGGGAGACATTCGTGCGCTGCCCAAATTCAGAAATTAAGGACAAAAAACTCATATACTGCTATGTTTCTGCTACTATTCATTACAGAACAAGGGGTAATGTCGCCCAAATTATTTTCCTAGAATAGCCCCTACATACATCATGCCATACATATATAACCTATATCATGTGTATACATACATCTATAGCTACTGTATAAAACTCTTGACTTTTATCCTTCCTGCAAACATGATGTAACCAAAAGAATAAATGCAAAACATTAAATATATATAAACAGCAAAATTAGCTCACTTGTATTCTTTTATTAAAAGAAAGTTTATAATCGACCTCACATGTTTAATATAACCTACTCAATTCTAAAGTTTAATTTGATCTTACTGGTTAAATTAAATTTAAGTTTTTTCAAGATTTATCAATTTTATTTATACTAACAATGAGGAAAAATGAGGTCAGCAATAATTTGCCAACCTAAATCTTTTTGAGGTCGGCAAAAACTATTTGATACAAAGGTCTGACCATAAAACATAGAAACGAGGTCAGCAATTTTTTGCCGACCTTAAACACTTTTAGGTCGGCATTGTCGAATGGCGACCCTAATTCTGAGGGTTGTGTAGGACATAGCAGTCTTGTAAAAAATAACCACAAAGGATTTCAATTTACAACCTGTTTAATAAGAAATAAGTTTCAAAAGCATAGACTTTATATAAAACATGTATTTTATATACATTTTATGTTTATTTATAATCAAACACTTTATGCTATTTTTTATATTATGATAAGTAAAATTAAGTGCTATAAAAATTTGTGGAAATTAAACAAATTTGTATAAATAAACAAACTTATAAAAATTTTAAATATAAATAACTCTATAGGTTTTGCAATTTAAAGTAATGTTAAGTAGAATAGAATTTCAAAAATTCATCAATTTCTTCATGATATTGAAATAATATTTTGTTCTGAGATTTGCAATTTACTCACCTGTCTGTTACTCAACCATAAGTTGTTGTTTGCATGTTTGCGTTCTGTTTGAACCTTTGGTACGACATTAGTTCACCTGTAAGTTATATATGTATGTTTTCATTATGCCTAAACCTCTGGCATAGTGTTCACTCCCCTGTAGTTACTTTATGTTTATGTTCTGTTTGAATCTTTGTTGCAGTATAAGCTCAGGAACCAACTAGTGACTCTAACTATAAAACCTACGATCACTTTTATTTCTCTAAAACTTTGTTAGATGTAATGTTTTTCCTAATGCATTTCTAAAATATTCCCATACGGTTTCTAAGTACTGCTTACAGGAAGTAACTCCTGTTAACTACCTCCAGGTCAGGCCTGGTTAAGGATCATCAAGATCCCCTGCTACTGGTATTATGCAACCCAGTACTACCTGCCCCATGCCCTGCTGCTTTGTAGGATTTGCTTTTTTAGGCTAATGCTAGAAGAAACAAAGCCCAACTTAAAAATCCCCTGCCATGGGGCTCTTGGTTGAGTAAATGCTGGAGATGGTATCTCAATAAAAAGATTCATCTTGGGCAGATGTAAACTGCATCCAGCTACTGTCTTGTAAAAGACCTCCTAGGCAAAAAACTTCAGGGGTAAGCAGAAAAATTCTGTTGACCAGTCTCAACTTCTTCACCTATTTGGCTAGTATAGATGAAAACCTGTTACATTGTTTTCTGCCTAGGATGATGAATGCTGGATTTTCTTATCTTGGGATAGATTCTTATCTTATACTGGATCTTGACATATCTAGACTCATATTGATATCTAGACTCTACTCATAGATTTTTGTTTGTGCTACCTTAATAGTGGCTTTGTAACTCTTCCTGTTATCTCCTAATAAGGGTACAGCTCTGAAACTCAGTTTAATAGTTCTGAGGTTGGTTGATAGTTTCCCAAACTCTGTAGTAGCTCTCAGAGGGGCTGATCCCATCAACAGCTGAAAAATATCAGAGTATTAACAGTGTAATGTTGTGCATTGATGATGTCCCTGTTAATGCTTTTGGTGTTCATTGTCAAGGCCACATAAGAAGCCATATGTTATGACTTTGGGTTAATTAACAGGACTGAGCAAATGCATAGCTCATTGCATGGGATGCTATGCTCTATTTATAAATGAGTTAAGTTCTCTTTAAATTTAAATCATGCCCAAAGCATTGGTTACTTACACATCAACTCACCTATTGTTGAGAAATCAGGCTTGAATCCCTTGATCATTCCTTTTATGTGCTTCCACCTAACACCTCTTCACTCTATCAGCTTTCTCTTTTTTCTTTATAATTATCCTTTTTCTCAAGATTACACTCTTTTAGATTAATTTCTGATCAAATTGACCATGCCTTTTCTCTTTACCGCTCTATTGGTAAAGGGAAAAGGCATGGTCAATTTATTGGCCAATATTGTTGTTATAGGTGACTTTAATGCTTATCACACTGATTGGCAAGGATATGGCAGAAGTGTTTGCTAAGAAAACACTTTTTTTTATAAATTTGACTCTTGAATCTGATGGCTATACTCTTCTTGTCATTCCAGGTTACGGGTTAAACAGGTTAACCCATTGTTAGACATTCAAATTAATCCTACTTCCATTGCTAAAGTCATATATCCAACTTCCATTGCTAAAGCTATATATCAATTAATCTGATTATGACAATATTCCTGTCATAATGTGTCTGATTATGACAATATTCCTGTCATAATCAGACACAAGTGTCTGATTATGACAAGTGTTCTCCATAACTCTCTTCAACTTTCTCTGAACTACTTAATAAGACTGATTCTTGTTTTCCTACCTGCTGAAAAATTTTTAACTCTTAAGATCATTCTGATCCATTGTTCTGATGATGGAGTAACCTTCTATATTGTTCTGATGATGAAGTAAACTTCTATATGTTATTAGCAAGGTCTTTGAGTCTTTGATAAACAAGTTTTTAATAGTGTACCTTAAGTCAAATAACTTTATCGTATCTTGAGTCAAATAACTGTCAGACAATCAATGCAGTTTTTGATCCTCTCGCTCTATGGCTGTCTTGCTAACTGCTGTGACTGAAAGATTTTATTATGTATTAGATGGAAGTGGAGAGGCTTGGGTTATTGCTCTCAACATATCTAAGGCTTTCAACAAAGTTAGACATGCTGGTCTTCTCCATAGGCTTGCTTCATATGGTGAAAGTAAATGAATTTCCCTGTATCTGGGAAAGTTTTTGAGAATATCAAATCATTTCTTTCTAACCGCTTTATTAAAGTCATTCTTGAAGGCCAACACTCTTCTTCATTTTCAGTAACTTCTGTGGTACTAGGTTCTATCCTTGGTCCTGTTTTGTTTCTTATCTCTGTATGGAATACTGCTGTCATATTTTGGGCTGGTTCTTCTAATAATGCTCTTTCTCTTCTAGACAAGATCCAAAAACCCATTGTTTAATGTGGTTGCTTGCAGCCTTGCTAGGAGTTAATCAGAATAAAATAATAATAATAATAATAAAAATAATAATAAGGATGTTTGACTTATATTCTTTCAAGAGTTAAAAAGCATTTATTATACCACTAACCTCAAGTAAATACCTTATTTTTATAATACTCTGTCTCCTTGATTGCTTATAAATTTTTGAATCCAAAAGTTTAATTTTTTGAAACTGTATTTCCTATAAGATTTAGCATAGTACTCAAATTGGGTTAGACAAAACAAAGAAATCACTATAAAACCATATTTCAAAACAACTGCCAGAGGAGTGTGAAATTTATATATTTTTTAATCTACTCATTGCAACACACCGGAAATCAAATGATGACAAATAAAAATCATAAACTTTTAAATCAAATAAAATTTAATGATATAATGTTTGCAATAATTATAAGCCATTATTAATAGAAAATGTACCAGAGATTTTTTAATTTAATCACTGAATGGTTAAAAATGGTAATCCTTAAAAATGAGTAAATTTTGAAAAAAAACACCTTTTTAAACTTAATAAAGCAGAATATGAACAAATGAACAAATAAAATTAGAAAAAATATAATTATATAATAATAAAAATTATACAACAGTAAAAGAATGATG